ATATATATATATATATATATATATATATATATAAATAAAAGAATCAGAACCATTCCTAAAATTGTAGTATAGAAGATTTATTCAAGCCTATACACAAGAATCTAGTCAACTAACAGTCAGCACTACATTGGCACTAGATAAGGGTCAACGGAATACACAGGGGGGCTGGACTTGGATCTCTTGTGGCAATGCAATGATGATGCATTTAACTCCACCTCCCCAGCTCTGTCTATGGTGATTCTCAGTCATCAAGGTCATTGTTGTCCCAAAGGTGCTTTTTCCACATGGCAACTGAACTTTCTTGTTTTTCTTGAAGATGTTTTGCTTCTCTCCCAAGAAGCTTCTTCAGCTCTGACTGGATGGTGGGGAATGGCAGGATTTATAGTCCTTGCAGACAGCTGGTCATTTGCATTCTTTTAGTGAGTCGTTGAAGACTGCTGAATCTTGTCCTGATGGGTTTGTTCTCCTATGTTGTGCCATGCATTTATGAAGTGGTTGTTTTGTTCATAAATGCATGGCACAACACAGAAGAAAAAATCCATCAGGACAAGATTCAGCAGTCCATCTGCATTTAAAAGACAAAGGTCACTCTTTCGAAGACAGCAAAGTCCACATTCTGGACAGAGAGGACCACTGGTTTGAAAGAGGGGGTCAAAGAGGCCATCTATGTCAAAATTGAACAGCCCTCTCTCAACAGAGGGGGAGGGATACAACATCATCTATCTCCAGTCTACAACACAGTCCTTTCAACAGTTCCAAGAAGGCTCCACACCCATTTGCATTACTCAGGTGACCCTGACAACACAGATAAGCCTCCAGGGGCTTCAACGACTCGCTAAAAGAATGCAAATGATCAGCTGTCTGCAAGGAGTATAAATCCTGCCATTCCCCACCATCCAGTCAGAGCTGAAGAAGCTTCTTGCATGAGAAGCGAAACGTCTTCAAGAAAAACAAGAAAGTTCAGTTGCCACGTGGAAAAATCACCTTTGGGACTTCCCAGCTGTGCATGCTCTTCTCCTACAAGTTGTGTATTATGGAAAGCATCCAAGACATCTTCTCTATCACAGAACCCTCCTGTGTTGCAAATTATTCTTAATCCTGCCTTAAATTGTTTCAGGATATAAATGAGCTCTGTCTAAACTTTGACCTGGCTCTCAAATAGACACTCCTACCCTTTACGGTGGCTGCATACTACAGGGGAAGATTAGACTGGAAGTCATGTCTGTAATTAAGGCAGTTTTATTGGCTAGGTTGCTGTAGTTTAGGGAGTCAAACAGTCTTAACATTTCCAAGAAAGTGGAGTGAGCAACGTTGATTCAAATAACTACCACATATCAGTAAATGCTTGCAGTCAGAGGATATCACTCTGGCTTTCACCAGACAACTTTACATTTTGTGTTCCACTCCCACTCCCATCATCCAAATCCCAGCACTTACCTTCATGGCTTTTCATAGCATAGACATCGACTGATGTATCAAACTCCCCAGGCCCGAAAAAACGTGGGAAGTTGAGAAGGTTACCGGGACTCTCAGGTGGAGTCCCATAGGAACAAATTGGATTCCCTCCTATGCCATCATTCTCACATTCTTCATCTTCTGCCCGGTCCTCAACTTCCATCTCCTCTTGCTCAGCCCGATCAACATCGTGAATCCCTACTAGCAAACTGTAATCCATGATCTTCAGCTGTGCAAGGAACTGGAAGTCAACAGAAAGACATTCCTTCTCATTTTTAAGGTCTCTATATCACCTCCAGGATTTGAGTTAAACCATCTTTCATTAACTTGGCACCAGCTCTAAGTATTGGGACTCCAAGTCACTTAAATCTCAAAGCTTTTCTACATGAGTGTTTGGAAATCTTATGGTTACAGGATTATAGGAGAAGAATGTTTTAGTCTATGGTGGCAAAAAAAATTAGGAGTCTGGTAGCACCCTTTCTAACTAACAAACTTTATTAAAAGACTTTTAATAAACTTTTGTGAGTTTGCTGCTTACTTCATCAGATGCACAGAGTGGCTAGACCGATATAGAATTTAAAATGGGATGAGGCGGGGTGGGTGAGTGGGTGGGAGAAACTAATTAGTTATGCAAGTGCAGGTTACATGTGAGACAGATTGCAAGTACCTAATTAATTAACAATTGTAATATGCTAAAAAAGCCACTGTATTTGTGGAAACACTTTGAGGTCGCCTGAAACTTTTTGATGTGTATGAGTTCAGCAATGTCTCACTTCAATGGTCCCGTTAAAGTCTCTGTTTTCCAAAATGGTCACTTTGAAATCTGTTGTGCTTTGTGGTCTGTATTCTGTTTAAATTTAAATTAATTAAAAAACCTAATAAAGCTTGTTAGTCCGAGAAGGTGTTATCAGACTCCTTCTGAGACTTGTAGGAGTAACACTCATTTCTGTTGATCCCGAGTTATGGAAAACTGAGCTACTCTTGAGCAGGATGAAGGAAGTAATCCCCAAAGTGAAGCTGAATGCAAGAGACAGTAGCAGGCAAATAAAACTCTTCTCTGTTTCCTTTTTCTAACAGTTCTTTTCAAATTCATTTAAATTCACTTAGATTGTGAGACAGAATCTACCAGACACCTCTACCTTATCTAGCCTTTTAAAGAGCTTGAAAATTAGTGTAACAGTGGGGACTCTCTGGTGATTCCACCTCTTAAGTCATACCCCCATTCCCCAAAACCAACTGCTTAGCTACCCTACCTCAACATCTTGCTTCAATTTCTCCAGGATTTTTTTTTTATATTCGACTCCAACATGGAGCTTTTGGCCTTCATTTAGAAAGTCGTTGTCTTTAAAGGTTGGTAGATCCTTAGCCTAGAAAGAAAGATTGAACTGAAGTAAGTGCAAAACATTGCTTCTATATTATGTGATCCAAAGCAGCTCAATATACTGCTTGCTGAAGTTGGGGCAAAGGCAATTCCATCAACTTTGAGGAAAGGATTAAAAAATACTAAAATATTCATGAGAAGCTGCTGGGCTAAAAGTAAAAGCTTGTGAGAGGCTGTGGAAAGGAAGTAGAGAAGGACTGCAGTTTAGGTCAGTAGATGCAACATATAGGACATGACCAGGCTGAGCCCGAGGGAGGGGCCAAATGCATCATCAGTCATGAGTCCCTTCAGGCCCACAAGAGATCTAAGTCCAGCCCACCTTGAATTCCTGTGACTCTTATCTACAGCCAATTTGCTTGGGCCCTTAGTAGTTCAGATTCTTGTAGAGAGATTAAGCTTGCAATAAATCTTTATACCCATTTGAACTGCCTGGATCTCCTGATTTCCCTGGTGCTTGACACAACACAGCCCAAATGTGAGAGCCAGGGGAAGAAAGCATTTTAAAAAATAGACTACTTCTAGGAATTTGTCTTTCCTTTTTTAAAACTATTTTATTTTATTCAAAAAGTTAAAATACAAAATCCCCTCCCCTATCACAGCATGCTGAACAGCCCCTCTCCCATCATGGCATGCTTAATGGACAGGAGCAATAATTTATGCAAGCACCACTGTTCAAAGGCGTCAATTCTTCTTTGATCAGCTATTTAGTGTCCAACTCTCATACCCATACATCATTATTGGGAAGACTATTGCTCTAACTAGCCTGCTTTTTGTATTTATATCAATAGCTCTGCTTTTCTAGATCTTATTAATGTTAATCATTGCAGTGTGGCCTAAGGTTATCCTATGTTTGATTTCAGGAGTAGAACTGCCATCGTGAACAATTTTTGATCCAAGGAAGATAAATTCTTGAACTAATTCAATTTCCTCCTTGTTGATTTTAAACAGCTCATGTCCATCTGCAGCTTTTGTCATTATCTTTGTTTTCCTGATGTTAAGACTCAATCCAACTTTTTCACTTTTGTCCTTGATTTTCCAGATCATTTGTTCCAGGTCTTCCTTATTTTCAGCCAATAGTGTTGTATTATCTGTGTACCTCAAATTATTTATGGTTCTTCCTCCAATCTTCAGTCCAACATCAGGCAGTTCCAGATCTAATTTCTGCATGATCATTTCAGCATACAGATTGAACAAAAATGGTGATAAAATACATCCCTGTCTAACTCCTTTACTCATCCTGAACCAATCTGTGTCACCATAAAGTGTTCTCACTGTTACCTCCTGATCAGTGTACAGTGATCTGCTAAGTCTGATCAGGTGGGTTGGGATACCAACATCATGCAAAGCTTCCCATAGCTTATTGTGTTCTACACAGTCAAAAGCTTTTCTGTAATCCATAAAACACATATATAGATCCTTTTGATATGCACGTGCCTTTTCCATAATACATCTAATATAGGAAATGTGATCTTGAGTGCTGCGTCACTTTCTAAAGCCAGCTTGTACATCAGGTAACTCTTGATCAATAACTTTCTGTAGCCTCTGTTTAATGATTTTTAACAGAATCTTGCTTGCATGAGAAATGAATGCAATCGTGCAATAGTTGGAGCAGTCACTGGCATCGCCTTTCTTTACTAATGGGATAAAAACAGTTCTTTTTCAGTCCTGAGGCCATTGACATGTAGTTCATATCTCTTGACACAGGGCACTGATGATGTTAACTGGCACTTGTCTTAGTAATACTGCAGGTATTCCATCAATACCTGGGGCTTTCCAGTTCGGCAATTTCTCCATGGCCAATTCTATTTCTTCTTTCGAGATGTTTTGTTCTTTATTAATTGGGCTGTCATCGTTGTCATCATCATGGTAAGTCAAACTGCTATAGAGTCCTTCTGTATATACTTTTCACCTATTCTTGATCTTCTACTGCAGGGCTTTTCAACCTTTTTACCAATTGTACCACTTTGAGGATATGGCAATATTCGAGTACCACCTAGCAAGGTGTCAAAAACTTGATGACCAAAAAAAAAAACCTGTTCAAAGTTGCAATTGCACTGAAATGACTTATCACCATTTTTCACACTTAATGACCATTGCAGCATGCCCAGTGTCATGTGATGTATATTTGGATGCTTGGCAACTGATTCATATTTATAACGGTCACAGTGTTCCAGGGTCATGTGATCCCCTTCTGCAACCTTTATTTATTTATTTATTTATTTTATTTATTTAATTACATTTATATCCCGCCCTTCTCCTTGCGGACTCAGGGCGGCTAACAATTGGATAAAATACAAACATATAGTACACCTATTAAAATTGATTAAAAAGAAATATTTAAACTCATCTGATTAAAAGTAATTAAAACCCCTTTAAAATCCCTTAGGCCAGTCCCGCAAGCTGGAACAACCATGTCTTG